GTGATAGGACGGAGCTTCCACCCCTGGATGGGGTGGAAGCAGAGGGGTTTTGCTGTCAGACCAGCGCAGCCGGGCCGTGCGCTGCTCTGGGTGGGATGTGACAGTCTGACCGAGGGAGTCCAGTCAAATTCTGCAAAGGAGCCTCCCTTCTCAAAAAGATGGCAAGTCTTAAAGGTGTTTTGTGCCAGATCAGAGAAGGCCACCGGACACCTGCCCTCTCTGAGACAGATTATATCGTGAGTGTCAGTCTGTACAGTGGGGGAGATGCAGCGTGACTTCAATTCCAGACAGCTTTCGTCCTTTATAACGGATCTGGCATGACAAAGGAAGAAAAGCTACAAAAGGTAGCCAGACATTTTTATCCCTACTTGTTACCTAGGCTGGCAGAAGCACACAGTAATAACATAAGTACATCAGGCTTTGCTCCTGTTCTTTGCTGAGGGACCCTGGCTGAGCAGGGCCGGCCCCTGCAGACACTCCGCTCTGGGCCACCCTTGTCACCTTTGCAGTACGTGTGACACCGAGTTGGGATTGTAAATCACATTGGTTGGGGGTTCAGGAGAACAGATTTGATGTAAAAATGTAAAGCAGCTTTTGTAGCACAGGGCTCTGTAAAAGCGTCATAATATTTTCCTTAAGAAACCAGTATTTCCCATCAGTGGTTATAAAATTCATATCCCCCCCACCTCTCAGCCATGAGAGTGGCTTTTGTACCAAAGGGAAGATGGCATTGCTGTTCATAGGAGGAGTGTGTCATTTACTGCTCTTTTGTTTTAATAGGATTATTTCATCCTGGACCACCATGACAAGCGCAAGCTTTCTTACTGCAATGACATGCTTAGAGCTTTGTTTCTGTTTGCAGGCAGGAGATACCTGTCTGCATGTGGCTGCTCGTTATAATCACTTGCCCATCGTTAGGGTGCTGCTCAGTGCTTTCTGTTCAGTCCATGAAAAGAACCAGGTCAGTGCATGAACCTCATTGCGACTGTGCACCCTTTGCATACGGCTAGTCATTGGAAAGAGGGATTCCTACCCAAGTAATCCCACTTTAATATGTCTTTCGCTGCAGTATTGAGTGCCTGAGCTCAAGTAGCCTTAAAGTAATGGCATACCAGTGGTTTATTATTTTGCCATCACATTTGCATCATTTGTTTAAAACATTTCCTATTTAAGAGGTTCCTTACAAGCATATGATTGTGTAGCAGGGGATTACGGGATAGGGATAGGGCACAAGCCTAGGGTTAGGGGTTGGGATTCCTCAGTCCTTGCTCTGCTAGTTCTATGCAGCAGGGGACTGCGCGAGGGATTTGGCATTTTTACACCTCTGTTTTCTATACCTAGGAGATAATAATAATATTACTGCCATCACAGAGATACCATGAAGCAGAACTCACCACTGTTCAGATGCTACAAAAGTGCAAATTTCTTTGGAAAAATTTTTCTTTGTTCTGGTGCATTATGAAGTAGTGGGAATTAAAAATATAGGAAAGTGAAGAAAAAGGCTGCTTTAAATTCAAAGTAATGATCGCTATAACTTAGGATTAATCTTCCATATTTGTTTTATGTGAGAAGTAATTGAATGCTGTCCCTGTGGTATAGCCTAATTGGGTGGTAGAAGGAAATGGATTTAGTGTATTAAAAATGCATTAAAGCTGCTAAATAAATAATGTATGTGGTATTTTACCACATCATCTCATGTTCCTTGGAAACTTTTCATGTATAGTCAGGGATCATAAAGATACTTTCTGATTTGTATGTTTAATCTTGTTTCTTAGATTATAGCAAAAGAAACGAGTTTTGGCATGTTAAATTTATGATGTAATTTCATTTGGAGATGAGATTTTTAACTTGTAAAATGAGCTACTGAATATTAAGATTATCTGGAGTGAACCTGGCACTGAGAAACACTGCTTTCCTTCATCCCTCCCCCCTGTTACCTGAAGCTGTTTGATAATGCATTACCATATTTGCACATGTCATGGGTTTATTTGTGAACACGCCTCGCCCAAGTTAGTAACAAGCCATAGTTTTCCAGTAATCTAAAGCAGATGTGCCCTCATCGTGTTTTGGGGACAAAATGCATGGCAAGGGGGACAGGAAGGCATTATACGCCCAACTACAGTCTCTCTCAAACAGCTGCTGGATCTGTTACCAGTGCCTGAATCTGATCGCAGCAGCCTTCACCTCAGTACACAGGAACAAGTGCAGGGCTGTGTTTCAGAGCTGCCCTCATACAGCCTCTTGGCTTTATCCCAAAAGCTTTTTTTTTCCTTGAGGGATCGCATGAAGAGAAAACCACCTATCTTATTGCTGTTAATTATCTGATTATTTTTGAGTAATGTAATACATGACCACCTGCTCACCAAATGACCAAACCTGCAAAAAAGAAAAGATTGCAGTGGCAAAACCAATTCTACCCTCAGATGTGTCCATTTGCTGGAGGTGGAACAGGGCTGTCTCTGAGCCATGTCATGTGTCACTTGTTGTAGTGCAAAAAGATCACCAGAGCCCCAGCCATGTTCCTCCAAACAAGGCTGCAGTAGCTCCTTGCCCCTCCTGCCCGCTTCCCAGCCCACTTTTTTCTTGACCAGGTCTTATTTCAGCTTAGTTGTTACATCGAGAGCTGTAGGCCTTTTGAAGTAGGAGCAGCCTTTAGGAAGCTCAGACTTCTGCATGGTGAGACCCAGGGATGTTTGTTACACAGTTGTGTTTTGCTTTGTGATTTTCAGGCAGGAGATACTGCGCTCCATGTAGCTGCTGCTCTAAATCACAAAAAGGTGGTTAAGCTGTTGCTGGAGGCAGGGGCTGATACATCAGTTGTCAACAATGTAAGTCGAACACAGAGTTTCTTTGATATTTTGTATTACTGTAGACTCTTCAAGCAAGTTTTTCTAGCATAGGTAGAAAATATTTGGGTATTAGATTCAATCTGGGTGAATTAAAACAGTCATTTTACTCTTGTGCACAGAGCACTTACTAACCTTATCGGGAGAAATCCTACGTTTCCAGTAATCTGTGTTTTGAAGGAAATGACGTTACTCTTTTTCCTCTCAGGCAGGTCAGACCCCTTTAGAGGTTGCCAGGCAGCACAATAACCCTGAAGTTGCGCTTCTCCTCACTAAAGCATCACAGGTACATGACAAACGTTTGTTGTTGGCAATAAACTCTTGAGTGGCCCCGACACACGTGTGCACATGGAGCTGAGGCCAAACTGTAGTCCGCGAGGATGCCCACATGGTCACTGCAGTCCTGAGAGTCTGCGCTGAGCTGCCATGAGGGGCTACCTGCCCCCAGTCCTTAAGCTTCTGCCATTGAAGGCACCTATGTTTCTACTGCACGTCATGTGCTGTCCTCAGGTCTAGCTGAAGTGGAGCCCTTGGAGCCCAGCGAGTTGCACGGGTTAGGCATCTGCGGTGTGCGGTGGTCAGCGTTTTCAAAGTGCTGGCAGAGGTCTCACCTGGCCCAAGCAGCAGAGGATGGTGCAGCAGGAACATTTGTTACATTATGGTAGCCTGGTGGTGGTTAGAAAAGCTGTCCTGGTTCGTGAGAGTTCCCTGTTTGTGTTCCCGTCTGACTGACACTTTTTTTGTTAGTCCACTGGTTTTTTTTGGTACTCGCTGAACTCTTCCACGTATTTTACAGCGTTTATGTGCCTGCTTTGGGGGCAGGGATCTCATGGGCAGCAGAGTACTTAATTAAGCGCTACTATCGTCTGCGTTAGGACAGCAAAACACCCTGATAGACTTAGCTCAGTGGTGGTGTGTTTTCACAGCCATAAATGCCCACGTTACTTGGCCCATCAGATCACATCTGGGAGTGCGTTCTCCTTTATGTATTGCCTTTCGGTAGATGTGTAAATCACTCTGCTTTATTAGCTTCTGTGGCAGGAAAGAGCACAGCATCACTGACTAACAGTGTTGTCTATCTCCAGGTCTCACGCTTTAATCGTGGAAGAAGCCTGAGAAAGAAGAGAGAGAGACTGAAGGAGGAAAGGCGGGCTCAGTCCGTACCACGAGATGAAGTGGTACAGAGCAAGGTACAGCCCAGCATCACCAGTTATATATGCTGCAAGGGGGCAGTGTGAATAAAACACATTAGGGCTAAAAACATCTGGATGTGTCTCTTTCGTGTGACCCATCTGAGGGAGGTCCTGGGGGCTAGGGAAGTGTATCGTGCTTTGCTGGTAAAGCCTTTCTGTTGCCCATTCATGCACGCAGACCAGCTTAACATTGAAAATTTGAAGAAAAGCCACCTTTTCCCCATCTCTGCAACTGCTTCGAACTCCCTGCCTTTGCTTCAAATAGGGCAGTATCTCAGCTGCTGATGACACTCAGAGCAGCGACCAGCCACCCCAGAGGAAAAGCGAGCTGAAAGATGAACCCCGGTCAACTTCACCAGACCCCAAAGGGAAGAAGGGCAAAAAGAAAAAACCAAAAGAAAAGGTATCGGTAGATTTAAAATGGCCGAGAGAGAAGGGCTAACTGTTGAGTAATAGCACGGGTGTCCCTTATGCTTGCCAGTGAGCAGGATGCCATCTCTGTCATGCTCTCCAGCCTGTGCTGTGGAGTAGGGGTAGTCTTCGGACAAAACCAATTTCTGGTGGGGAAACTCTTTTCCTGGGGCTCGTGCAAACTGGATTGGGGCAGAAATCTGGTTAGTGTGTTTATAAATGGCAGACTGGCCAGTCACAGCAGCTGGATTTATGTTTTAGTTAGGTTTTTGCAATAATTATCACACTGGATCTGTCTAGTTCCCACCAGGAACAGCTTATTAGAGGGTCCGTAAATAGGGAAAATGTTGTACATATTTTATGCAGGTTTCAGCACTCTCAGACCCCATTTCCCCAGCTGATCAGCAGACACTCCCTCAGCCCCAGCAAAGCTTGCCTAAACGCAGAAGTAAACATCGCTGCTCCTCTCCGCCGCCTCCCCATGAGGTCCGAGCCTACCAGCTGTACACGCTCTATCGAGGAAAGGATGGGAAAGTAATGCAGGTGAGCAAGCTGCTGCCTTCGAGGAGACAGACACACTGAGGAGCACGTGACGTTGGAGCACAGTTAGCTATTCAGACAGAAAATGCACTTGATTGATTGATTAACTGCACTTTCAATGGTATGAAATAACAACTGTGGATTGTTCTTTGCTTGGGCTTCAGCTCCATTTTGGCATGAAGTCCGGTAAACAATAAGCTAGTTTTATGCATGCTAAGGAATACGTACTTAACTAGTTTTGACCTATAAACTATTTCCTTTTGGTAGTTAAGGTGTGAACAGTGACTGGAAATGACACCGGTGCGTTTATGATACACTATGGAATATCAAGATTTCTCATCAGAAATGTAATGTAAAAAAAAAAAAAGCACTGTGTGAGCATCGAACCTTATAACCTAAACCGAGAACTTGATTACGTTCAGTACGTTTTGTTTCAATTCTTTCTGTTTATTGCAGCAAGTCTTTTGGGATTCTTAAGATTACTACAGGCAAGAGCTTTATGGAAATGAGCTCACAAATAAACCAGGAGTACCAGCTCATGTGCATTTATTCCAGTTCAGAGATTAATATTTTACTCCACCCAGTGTACTTTATTTTGCAAATATTTATCATTACACATTTATAAAACAGCATGAAAGCAGTCAGCAAATTACTCTGTAGACACTGTAAAATTCTGTACTGCTGCTTTTCTTAAGCAACACCCTGCACTTCTGGGAGAGGTCCCAGTCCTTTTCGCTTCATTAGCTTCTCACATCCAGCCACCAGTTTTCTTTGTTCCTTTGCTGTACTTTGAAATTCAAAAGATTGTGAAGATCACTAAAGTCAGAACTCAAAGGTTTTACTGGCCATGTTTTCCAAGATCTCACTGTATAAACAGCGGGAAATTTCCAGACATAGGCATTATGGGATTTTCCTGATAGCAGGCAGATGAATCAAACAAATAGCTCACAGATGAGCCAAAGCCGTATCATTGGTCGTTTTGTAGTAGTACTTGGGAAGGATGGAGGACCTTTCCGACATTAAAACGAGTACGTCCCTGTCCCTAGGATCTGACAGTAGGAGGATGCACAGGTAGGAAAGATTTAGGGAGCAGGAAGAAAGGTTGGGAGAGCAGATAGAAATTGTATACAAAACTATTCTATTCACAAAGATTAGCTTAATATGGCTAGACTCCCTTTTCAGCAGTTCCTGAAATACATGACACCTCTCTCTCTGCTTCTTTTTGGCTCATCTGTCATTTTTGATGCCCTCAGGCCCTGAAGAGCAAACAGAATTTCTTAAGTACATGTATTTCTGATGCTTTCTCTAGCGCTCTGCATACCGCCCACCTTCCCCTGCTTATTTCCCCCTGGAAATAAGTCCTAATTTGTGAAACAGGACTTATGGCCAAAGGAGAGCGGGAGGCTCCCTCAGGGACAGACTCAGAGCTTGTTATGCTCCTGACTCACTCCCTGAAGGAGCTAATTTCTGTCTGCGGACTGCAGAGGAAGCCTACGGGGATGAGCTGCCTTCGCTTGAGGGAACCTTTTGCAGCTGTCTCCCCGAGATATTTAAAAGGGGTCAGCATGGATGCCCTCACAGGAGAGCTTCGGGACTCTGTCACGCAAGGCAAAGGAAGGCAGCCGATTCAGAATGACAGCATCAAGACACAAAGTGCAGCCCTGCAATGTGCTGCCCCCTCATACCTCATATGGTAGCACAACATAGACGGTCTGATCTCATTTGTACTTGTAGTCCCAGTGAAATCAGCAATGCTGTGTGTTAGGGATTTCTCCACAGAGATCAGTCCTTTTCTAGGCTGTGCTTCTCCAAACAATATACTGTTTGGCCATCTTTCTGTTCTCTGCTGAGCTGTAAGATATTCTCAGGAGGGTGAGATACAGCACATGGTACAGAAGAGCACAACACTGACCCACAGGAGTTGTGATAATATTGCAAGTGCGCAAATGGGACAGAGGGATATCGCAAGCAAATGTATTACTCCTTTCAGGCACCAATAAATGGATGTCGTTGTGAGCCTCTGATAAATAAACTGGAGAATCAACTGGAGGCAACTGTGGAAGAGATAAAAGCTGAGTTTGGGACAGTACAAGATAAGATGAATGTTAAGCTGGGCCAGATGGAAAGCAAGACTCAACACCAAGTAAGAAAATGACTCAGGTCTGCTTGTCCACATGATTATTAGAAACACATCCTAAGCTTAATTAATATTTTCATTGTCACTGTTCGCATATTGTTTCTTGAGTTGTAAAAATAAAGAACCTGAAATCTAATATTCAGGACCAGGGAACTGTGACGTTCTACAGGGATCTAATGTTGCAAAGTAGGGTCTTGAGAGAAAAAACACATTTAATGTGCAAGTAAGTGGCTTCAGGTACTTGTTTGGACAATAAATCTAAATTGCTTGAGCCCCTAAGAGGGAAACTGACGACAGAATGCAGTCCTACAGCTGATTGATAGTTTTATAACTGTAAAATTCCTTTTGTTCAACTGTGTTTGCACAAATATTCAAAATCCTTTAAATAATTATTTATTTTTAATGCCATTTTTATTCATCAGATAATTCTGTGATTGTAGCTTTTTGCAAACTCTATCTAATTGTAGTTGGCAACACGCCTAGAAACAAAGACTGCAGGAGAGAATGTACTTTGACTTGGAAGGTTCAAAAATTGTTTTTTTTTTTGTTTGCTTTTTAACATGATCATTTCAGCTTAATTTTGTTTTTCCCACAGCTCCGTGTTTTAGATAAGCTCATGGCTGAGCGGCTGTCTGCAGAGAGAACAGAGTGCCTTCATCGCCTTCAGCAGCACACTGAGCTGGAAAAAAATGAGGGGGAGAAACGGCAGGTAGGACTTCAAAGAGCTATTCCCAATTAGGTGAGATGGGTCAGTTCAAGGGTTTTGTTCTAGCACGCAGAGAGAACACTGGAGATGTATCTATCTATCTACCTCATCTGTTGAAACAGGCAAAGGAGCTTCAAAGAACAAATTATTCCTATCCCCCACCCTGATCTCTAAACCAAACTTGTAAAGCCTTTGCTTTAGAAATGAGGAATGTAAAATTCGGTCTGACCATCATCATTTAATTTTGTAGGACTGAAGTATGGGCTCTCTAACAAAGATCTCTTTTCCCTAACATAATGCTTTGCAAAAATTGCTATGGCAATTTTTAACAGTTGTTCTATCAGCTTTCACTAAGTTAATTCTTGCAGTGTAATTAGCACCATGTCATTTTATTTTCCTGCTACAAAATATCTCAACATAGTGGGAGTCTGAAAACATAACCTTCAGAAAAGAAAAATGTTCAGAATACATGTGAAGGATGTCTGAAGGAACATCAGCAAATAGTAAAAAAGGCATAGGATCCGCTTTGTTCCTTTTATTCTCATCCATTTTGTTGTGTGTCCTGAGACTCTCTCCCTCCTCCTCCTCAGTCTGATCTCCCCCTCCCCCCCCCCCCCCAACCCCAACGCATTAACAGGCTGCAGCTCTTCCCTCTGACTCTGGCAATAGTATAGCATCTCCATGCTGCGTGTTATTGCCAATGAGCAAGTAATTTTTATATGTTTTTTTAACCAGCATTAGAATAATTGTTCCTGTAGAGATCCAGCTCTGGCCCATCTTGCTTCTGTATAAACTCACCATTAAAACGTGCTAAGAAAATTGTATTTCTCCACTCACGTAGGGGCAGTAAACTTCAAATGTAATTAATTTTCTTGTTATTGGTATTCTTTTAAGAATGGAGAAATTCGTTTTGTGCTAACCTTAGTAAAGAGTCGTGGCTCTTTTTAAGACAGTTCCAAATTCATGTGAAAAGGCTGCTGCGATAAATCCCAGCGCGAACTAATCAAGCTATTTTGTCTAACATCCACAAAACAGTTTTCGCCAAAGAAAAGCACTTACAAGCTAAGGCAGCTTTAGTTTTTCTTTTGTAGTAAGGGACATAAGTATTATATTGACTTCTTAATGTCCTTGTAGTTTAAGAATGATAAATCAGATGATTACTCAAAATTACCATTAAGAGGTATCATCCGTTCTTGTTCTGTTAGGTCTAATTGAAAACTGCTATAGAGATTGACTTGGCCTTTATTAAATGCTTAGTCCATGCGAATAGGAGTTCCTGACCTAAATTCACAATTCCATTTGAAACATGGAAAAGAGCAACTAATTTTGCAAACAGCTACTGGCAAATGCCTCTGCAACTCGTAGGTACCTCTCTAATTGGAAAGCTGCTAGTTATTTATAATTTAGTGCTGGACTTGATCCTGTATCACCAAACTAACAGGAGAGCAAAGCTCAGTAACGGTATAAAGCCGTGTCCCAGAAGTGTCCAGTTTGAATTTCACTCTTAACAAATGGCAGCTCCAACCACATGTCGTGTCCCTTGCACTCAGAAAGTACCCTTGACTGTATGATCAAACAAGTCAGCCTTGATCAGAGGACTTCCAGTTGCACTTGAAGTAGCACATTCAAATCTAAAAGGTGGTGAGTTGGACTAGAGGTGCCTTTCATTAGCAAATTCATAGTTCTTCTTTTCTGATTTGCAGCCCTTTAAATATTCCCAGTGGGAACATGCGTATCTCTACAGTGAGCCTAAGCCCACTGACACCAGGCTTACTTCTCATTGTCCCTGCCATCCGGGCCAAAAATTTATTGTCTAATTTACATCCTCTTTCTTATAGATTTCCTTGGTCGATGAGCTGAAGACTTGGTGCATGTTAAAGATTCAGAATCTGGAGCTCAAGCTTTCTGGCGATTCCAGGTCATCAAGACCAAAATCAACTTTGTCTACTTGTGAGTCTCTCACTGAGACCCTGGACACCGAGAACAACGCCCACAGCACTAAGGATGGTAAAGCCCAGCAGGCCACGCTGCAGGCAGAGGGCTCCCACCAGCATTCCTATATTACGCTTCCAAATAATCTCTCACAAGATGGGGCAAGGAGTGGAGTCCAGATGCCAGAACAGAGCTTTGGACAACATTTTTGTGTTCAACAAGATGGTGCATCAGGTACAACCTTGTCAGATATTTAGATGTAGTAGTCAAAGGCCAGATAATTAACTGAGGGATACTTGTGTTAATACCACGGATATTAGTTCTAGCTGTGTGCTTTTCCCCATCCATATGCATAATGTCTTGGGATTAGAAAACACTTCAATATTCCACTGGGAATATTTGAAGACATAGTTGGGCGGAATTCCCCTGTCTCTTCTGCTCCTTCTATGTTACTTTGTCTTTGAAGCCAAGTCCTTTGCTGCTCTAAATAACTATATTTTTTGATGTTTCTCCAATCTTCTGGACAGAACTGTGCCCACCCGGTGTTTGTCATGAAGGTGCACGCATTATCCAAAGTCCACTGAAGAAAATATATTGCATATGGTGCTTTTCAGATGTATGAAGCCCATAACGGTAGGGAGCAAGGATCCAAACCTCAGATGTTGATTTTCCCTTGTTAGTGTCCAAACTACAGACCTATAGAACAAGCAGCTCATTTTTTTCCCACTTTCCTTGAGCCAAAGAGTATTTAAGTATTAGTTCATTATGGAACTTATGAGGAAAAAAAAAATGGCTGAGAACATTCAAGCCCATTCAGAGATCAAGACCACTCTGAGAATATGGAAGACCTTAGTTAAAGCTGCTCCTTTGTGCTTGGCCAGGTAAGCTTTTGAGGAAAAAAGAAACAGGCAGAATGCAATCCCAGCCTTGGTCTCCACATCCAAGGAGGGCCCTATCAAAGCGTTGGGCTTCCGTAAAAGGGATTGTATGCATGTGCCCCTGAAACATTGCCCCACAGAGAGAGCAGACATGGACAAGCACACCCCATGAGACTAGACAGGCAGGAGAAGACCATACATGAGAATCCTGCTGCAGTGCGAGCATGAGCTAGTTTGCTGAACAGGTCAAAAGTGTCACGATTTTGGTGTCTTTGCAGAATTAGAGGAGCTTCAAGTTTGTAGAAGCCAGGGCGGAGGGGGGGAACCATAAATATCAACAAGCATAAACTATTTGGGGACTCTAGCCTGATCTTTTAAAATACATTTTCCTTCTAAAGACTCTTGATTGATTGTTGTTAGTCTGTAGTCCCGTAACTGCAGTGCAGTGCATCTCTGCCTGAGCCATCTTTTTTAATGACTCTTTATTAAATAATCATCTGACTGTGAAGTTGTGATAAAGTAACATAAGCCTCTGCAGTGTGCACGCAGCGTGGAACATGGCAAACCACATTGTTCATCAGACTTCAGAACCTGGAGAATTCCTAAACATTAGAAGAAGTGCCCAGAGCTTTTCTAAATATAGATGTATTTTATTCTATAGGTGCAGAGCAACAGTTAATCACTGCTGGACCAGCCTCTTCTTCAGCCCCCGCCCAAGATGTCAGGCCAAAGGACAAAGATGCTAGTGCCAGCACTTCCCATACGTTTCCGCAGGAATTCCCCTCGTCGGGGTCCAAACTAAGACACGTTAAGGTTCAGCCTGCTTTGCAGCCCTTGACTGACCCAGCAAAGACCGAAGCACCGAGTGGCTACTTTATCGACAAAGGAACCCAGACAAAGAAACCCAGCAAAAGCGGGCAGATACGGCACAAAGCTCTGCACCACCCAGGGGCCCATCAGAGCCAGCAGCAGCAGCCCTCTGCTGTGCCTGTGGGGCAGCAGCCTGCCCCTCCGCTCAGAGACACCTCCCAGGCGCTGGAGATAACGCAGTACTTTTTTGAGGCCGTTTCCACTCAGATGGAGAAGTGGTATGAACGGAAGATTGAGGAAGCCCGCTGCCAAGCTAATCAAAAAGCACAGCAAGACAAAGCTGCGCTCAAAGAGCATATTAAAAGTTTAGAAGAGGAGCTCAGTAAATTAAGGACTAAGGTGCAGAAGGAGAGCTAGCATCCACAAAGCAGGTAAAGACAAGCAGTGGGGCTCATTTTGGAACCTACTGCATAGGAGTCTGGAATATTGATAAATATCTATGATGTAGTGCCTGTTACAAACAAACAAACAAACAAAAAGCTCTTTTTCAGGACTAGAAGTAAGTTGAGAAGCTCCAAAACCAAGCAGGAGAAATGCACAGACTCTTTGTATTGATGACAATGATATGCTGCAAATTAGATCCTTTCTTTCTTATTTCCAGGAGCCCATTAATTGTTGCACTCACAACTTCCAGGTGCTGCTTGAAAACAAACTGCATTAAAAACCAAAATTGCTTTCTGAAAAGGGAATTTTCTTATTCCACATCATAGGTCATATGTGGCTAGAGGGTTCCACTGAATGTTAAGATGTCATGATACCAGTACTGAAATAAATTTGCAATATTGGGTTTGACAGAAATTCCTCAGTGATAAAGGGCTGTTGATACTATTTTAGCTACTTCCCACGGCCTCTCTCTAGTCAGTGGAGAGAAGCTACAGAAGCTGACTGAAATTGAGCCTAACATAGGTGAAAGATGCAGGCTCCCAGCTGGGAGAGGCCAGGCTTCCACCTACCTGAGGCAGATACTAAGATGCTACCTGAGTCATCCCACTGGGTACAGAGGCTTCTGTTGCCGTTTTACTTTGCCTTTGGTTTATATTATTAACATAAATGCTACGTTAAACTTGTTTTTAATGGTTTCCTAGTTGCACAGCTCCTTGCACTTGCGCGGTTGTTGGGGCTATGCTCAAGTAATCTGACTGAAAAAATTCTTTTAGGGCATGGATGGCAAATATTTTATTAAATCCATGCTATACTGGCTGTCATGTATAATTTTTATATAAATACCTCTTCCTTCGAGCAGCACATGTCTAAATTCTCTACTAGTACTGAAGGAGCATGAGAAAGTCCTACACCTAAAAAAAAAAAAAGTGAAAGCTTGGTTCCCTGTACCTGTATTTGTTTTCCTGCAGGGTCTGGGGTCTCCCCCAGACACCTTGTCCAAACTGTCTTCCTTAGTTCCTCCAAGTAATTCCTCTCTCTGGTTTTCTTCCTGTATCTATAAAAAAGAGCAATCAAGCCCTTGCAAGTCTGCAAGACTTAGGACTGATTTCACAAATAGTTCCACAAAACAGAACTCAACAACATTTTAAAACATGTTTTGGACATATTTTGCCAAAAAAGTTAAGACTTGCAGTCATCAATGTCTGCCAGGCTGACAGACTCCAAATTGCAGTTCACTGAGGGCCGTTTTCAATTCCATGCTGCAACAATAACAACACCTAAATTCCTCAGCCACCGTTGGGCCGGTGTGCTATATGCTGCATAAACTAGAGCCACCGTCCCTTTTAGGTTTCCTCTGTATACCTCTGAGAGGGCTCCATCCAATTCTATTAATAAAAGGAAGATTACTTAGCAGATAATGATAAAACAACTGTTCAAAACAATTCAAATATAAAATGGTACAGTTATGCCTACCAGAAGGATACATTCTTTCTATACTGTGGAACCCTGAACAGAAGACAACACACTTAACAGTATTGAAGATACCAGTAAATGAGTAATAATTAAGCTTTTGTCTTCTTAGCAGATGTATAAAGCAAATAAAATTGTATTATATTACAGTCTTTATTTTTTTTTAATTCCCATTAATGCACTATCAAGTACAGTGTATCTGTAGCTATGGAAACACTAGTTTTGTTGCTCTGACTTCTGTAGTCAAATATAGACACTTTCATATGTTTACAGTTTTGTTTAAGCTACTGTAGCAATGCAGCAGCATGCTATTTAATTTTTGTATCATCTTGATAAAGTGAATGTTTTGCCAATTAAGTAAACTAAGTGTTGTTCAGAAGTCTGTGTTGTAATGTTTTTTATCCAGAGAAATTTGAGAAAATCCCCTCCCTTACATCAGGCGGGGAAGCAGAAAATTGGACTTCAAATTTTAGGCTTGTGTTTGGCACAGCCTTGGCTAAATCACTATATGTTTGTAGCTATAAAACATGGAAACCAGGTCTACCAGCTATCCCAGAGCAAGGCTGCAGGGACTGGCTGGGATTTGCTAGCTGATGCGATCACTTGGCATTTAAGAAGTTATCCCCACGCTGCTGAGTTGCGCAGCTGACCATGCACATGGTCCTGGTCTAGCACAAACGCAAAGGAACCACAAAGGATGTGGCTGAATCTACTTCACATATGAATTGTATTACCAGCGTAGCCACTGACAGATCAGGTTCTGTATCCTAGCTGAGGAACAGTAGTTTAAGACAGGAACTTGGCTGCAGAGTTCTGATTTTAGCGGTTTTATGGCAGCAACAAGTACTTTTCTGTAGAATAACAGCAGGCATTTTCTGATACTTCCTTTTTACTCCTGTGTTATCCTCCCTCCTTCAAAACTACTGGAGTTGAAGGAGTTCTTTACAAAATACCTGTATTATCTGCCTTTCTCGCAAGTACGCACTTGGAATAAATTTACTTGCCCTAGAAGAGTGTACACGGACTCCTAAAGGTTTCTGGCAGGCAACTTTATCTTGACAACAGAGGAGCCCACAAATCGCTGAAAAAAAAATCACAGACAGCAGAGCTAAGGAAGACAGCCAATTGACAGGGTATTGCCCGTCAAGACCTCTTCTTGGACTATATGGATAATATGCAACACAACCTAACTGTGAACAAACTGGAGTCAAAGGAGTAGTGCAGACTTAGGTTTCTAAATGGAAACAACCGTGATTAGGTGGCAGTGTGAAGTCTTCTTATTCCAGAATACAAATTAAATCACTTGCTGAAGGGAAGGAGATGGTTACATGTGAGAACAACCAGACATTGATGACAACTTTGTTCAGTAAAAATTCCTTTCTCAGCAGTATTTTATCAGAACACAGAAGGAATCCAGTAACTTGCTGAAAGAAGGAAATAAAAAGATCTTTACACATGCCAGAGCTGCATGCTTACAGCTGTCACCACTTTCTGGGGCTCCAAAATCTACCAGCATCACCGTCCTCTGGTGTTGTCTGGAGCCCCAACAACGCTATCTATCACCTTTACCCACACGTGGGACAAGAATCTGACACTAGTTACATTACTCATTTTGCCTTTTAGCTACTGCCAGTGTAGTTCCCATATCAATTTAAATATGTGCTTCTGACAAAAAGGATCATTTGTATTTTTTCCTCATGTGTGGATGTTCATGCCTGCCCTTCTCGCCCTCAGACGGGTGTAAGTAAGTGTTCATACCGGTGCCTCGTTTATGTGGATCAGCTCTTGTATAGCTCACCCCACACAATACAAACACCTGGGCAAGGACTGCTCCTCTCTGCAGCGATGCCAGCATATGCCCGTTTGAATTGTTGAGAGCCCCCGTGCACTGCAGGAGCCTCAGTTACCAAGACAGGTCAGGGCCCTGGCAATACAACTGTGAACCTCTGCTAGCACAGTTAAAAATACAGTTTTGGACTCTGATTTCTACAGCTTTAATTGCTTGAACTCATACTGTGAAATTTCAGAGACTGTGGGATGCATTTCTTGTAACAGAAACATACCTTACCATCATTTGTTATCTATCTATCTATCTTCACTGTTCTTTTCCGTTTCCCACAGCCTTTTATTTGCTGAAAACCAACATTAAAACAATAGTCCCTCAAAGCCTGGTAGTCGCTACCGGCTCTTCCAGCACAGGCTTTTACATACTAATATTTGAAACAGTAACAAGAAATTTTCTATTTTAAAAGACTAAACTAGAAAAAAAATGATTTTTTCTGATTAAAACTTAAGGTGTTTTAATAAATGGCGACAGTGATTTTGTGAGTTTAGAGGGGGCAGAACAGTGCAGAAATAAGCTTCAAGGCATAACAGTCTAAAACAGCATCAGTAAGAAGAGCTACCTACCCTCTAGTATCTCAGCAAAGATGCAGCATTACCGACAAGGACTGCAGGAGTCTGCCTAAGAAGAGTGGAAAAAGACCACCTCCACAAAGAAAACAAATACTTCTACTGAAAACTTATTTTTCCCCACTAAATATTAGCTGAGAGAACCAAAACTAAAACTTGATTTTCTCCCGCCAATTAACTTACTTACTTACTTACCTTACTTCCATTAGTTTGAATTCACTGTCTTGCAGAACTGAAGTGCCAGGACTCTGCTGTTCTGCATGAACACAGAGCAAGACTGTCAGCAGCGCTGGTCCAGGACTACACAGTGTAGGGCAAACTACAGCAGGTGACTGGAGCCCACCAGCTGTGGGAGACAAAGGAAGCAAGCCCACATTGTTCAGAACAGACTCTGCAGCGGGAGCAGCATGCCGGGGGAGACAAGAGCTTGCGCCCAGCCTGACTGGCTCAAGAGGGCTGAAATCCCTTTGAGCATTAAGTAGCAGGGATTTTTAAAAAAAAAAAAAAAAAAACATGTAGTAACAATGAAAAATATGAAAATAAATCTGCAACAAGGCTTTCTCTCCTGTGCCAGAGTAATTGTCAGAGCCAGGCTACAAGAGCACGTTACAAAAATTTTTTAAAAAACATACTTTAAAAATGTGTATTTTTTCATTGACTGATTTAGAAGCTCACAGGTTTCTGCCTATACAAACCAGAATTCTTTACAGTCTTACTGGTTGCTAGGCCACATCCTTTACTGCAAAGCTCGATAAATCTCCCAGAAAAGGATTCTACAATAACCTAAAGGAAGAGGGAAAAAAAGGCATTAAAAAAAGACATTCTTCTTGGCAACAAGCAGGCTTTTTTGCAAAACTTGCTTAAGTATGTAGCTGTAGCTGTGAAGACACTTTGCTCACCACCACCAAAAAGCATACTCCCTGCTCCTGAAAGTGGTCTTTCTTACCCTTGCAGTCGGGACAGGGGAACAGTGCCTTATTCCTTCCTCTGCTCTGGTGGTAGCACTTACCAGAGCTGCTGTGAGCCAGTTCAGCTCACTAACTCAGCAGAAAACGGTGGTGGCGGCAGACAGCTGGAGAAGTGAACTGTGTTAGCATAAAGGCAGAGGGAAGGGTTTCTGTATCCCTTTAAACCACAGCCTAAATTGCATGCAACTATTGTGCAGTTAGGTATCTGCTGATGTCTAGCTATTTCTGCTTACTCTGAGAAAATCCCAGACTCCCCTTTGCTTTTTAATTTGTAAATTAAATGAAAAAGATATACTGTGATTTATGAGGCAGTCAGAACACGTCCAAGCTAGAGGAATTAGAGATGGAATAATAAGTCACTGGGAAAAAAGGAGCACAACCTTAGCAGTTGTTATTTTCTACCTGTAATGCTACTTCATGTTGACTTTTAAATACTAAACTGGAAGGTACTTCCTGTTAACTTGTTGTATGTATGTAAAGTTAACTCCTGTTAACTTTATGTATGAAAATGTATTTATCCCAAATGCTTCTGCTTTTTGTTAATTTCAAAAAAAACTTTGACAGAGTAGAGAAAGGGCGGTTACCACTGTGAATGTTACCGCTTAAGAGGTGCCACAACAGAAAACAGACAAAACAATCCAGTTTATATTTATTTTCCATTTTCCTGGCAAAACACTGCTATCGTAATTTTTGGTGCTTTCTGCTTATACCTCAGGCACATGCTACATCAGTGCTTTAAACTACGCAGTTCCTTAAGGTCATCTGTGTGCGACTGATTTCCAGCTAGGAGGGTCATCCAACCAACAGGAGGAAGGGAAAAATCCCAAACCAAAACCCCACTGTAGCAGATTCCATCTTCCAACATTACCAGAATGCCATCAAAGACTGCTGTTATAAGCACATTCTGGAAAAAAGTACTATGCTTCTTCACAGTGGATGAAAGTCCAGCTGTCAACAAAATTAAGGTCAGGATTTTGCCAGCTTAAGCGTTCTCTGAAGTTCCTGAAGTTGCATGTTGCCTTGAGTAATCATCATCCTAATTGCATCCTGTAAAGCAAAATGGAATCTACTGCACTGAATGTATGTACACAGGTTTTACGCAAGCACACTGGTTTTAACACATTAAAATACATACAGCATTATGTCTTTGTGTGAAGCAATGCTATAGTCACAGGTTAAAAAAAAAAAAAAATAGGTGAAGCAATGAATTAATTTTCTCCAATTTCTTAATTATGTGTTTGGGGGCTCGCTATATCTTTGTTTTAAAACAAAGACTCATTTTTTAAAAATTCATTTTTAAAAAACTCATTTTTTTTAAAATGGATTAGATTCCAACTCCAATTAATATTTTCTTTAGGCCTCTCTGCTTACTGCCTTTGAAAGTATGTAGTGACAACTGCACACGGGCGTTGTGAAGACAAATGTTACGCAGAAAAAGTGGATGTTCTTCTGAGCATTTCTCAGCGCTGCCATGCTTTGGCTGCGTAATTCAGCCACCGATTCCTCAAGCGCTGGCGAGAAAAAAGTGCAAACAAGGAAGCAGAGGAGGGAAGACGTATAAGAAACGTCGCGTTTTCCTCATTTCATACATGCTTCCTATACCCAGCCATCCAATTTGGTTTTGTTCAGCTTGCGCGAACAAATACTAGTTGAAATGAAAGACGAACAAAATGAAACTATAAAAAAGCCCGAGCACTGAACGTTTCTATTAATTATCATATTACTCAATACAGTTTTTCTGACTCTTAGCGTAAGTAAGCAGGATTTGTTTGTTTCTCTCCGAATTTTTAATTCCAGATTTTTGATGTGGCAATCGGGGAAACTTTAGCGCCATCAGGAAACAGGAGCTAGCGCTAACACGCGGAGAGACTGAATTTTTCATACGAACGCGCCTGAAGAAAAATTAATACGAGCAGGTTTCTCAGAAGTCTCGACGCGGCGCTTACAAAACCGACCCCGGTGACAAGCTGCAGCGGAGGCCCCTGGTGATGTTCTGGAGGGCCCGCGCCGGGGACTGCTGCTTCCCGCTCCTCACCTCTTCCGCAGCATCTTTATTCCTTCTGAATTCGCCCCTGGCCCACTCCTTCAAGTGGCGGCGGTCTGCCTCGGCGGGCACGTCACGAATCGCCCGCAGGATTCTTCTGTATAACTGAAGAACCTGCTGCCGTCTCAGGAACTGCGAGGGCCAGAGAAAAAGCTCTTACCGGCCATCCCAGGAAACGCTACTGCTACCCGCACCGCACCGTGAACGTCTCTGTTCGGGTTCCGGAGCCGTCTGAAACAAAGGCAAAGCTCCCCGTTGCCTCTGCGTAAGCGCGCGGCGCTGCCTTGGTTCCCGGTCCCACACTTACGCTTCACATAAACAAAGGCGCCAAACGTTACATTAGCGCAGGAAGGTTAAACCGAGGCAGGTGCTGTTTCGCCCACGCGGCGCGTCCCCCCCTTGCCCTTCCGTCCACCTCCGCGCCGCC